AAGATTTGGGAGCTTCACTAAACTCCCATTGTTCGCAACCTTTCAAAAAATAGGCTCTATCCGGAGCATCTTCAAAGATACACCGGACACTCACAGGCCGATGGTCAGGAAAACCTGAGTCCACTATACATGCGGCGTCGCGAACATGAGCACAGGCAGCACTGTTAGCCAAGATGTAATCGATCCTAGATTCTTGGGTTTTTCCATCTGAGATACGTTGGTATGAATTTGGGATAGGCTGCTGGTGTGCAGCACAAAAGGCATCCAGTACATCAACCCATTCACCAGAACACAGAGCCTGAGCAACACTTGAATTAGAACCAGGTGGATCTTGAAAATCTCCCAAAATAAAAACTGGTGCCTTCGGAAGTGTCGCAGCAAATTCGAAGACTCCTTGCATGATAATCTTTCTTTGCATGGAGATAGCTGAAGAATTCCCAGTGGGCAAATAACAGTTGATGATATAAAACCCCAAATCCCCATGGACAACATGCAAGGCTTGAACAAAGCTACTTAGTTCGAAAGTCTTGTCTATGTCGATTTCAGTGAGAGCGACTCGAGAGTCAGCAAAGGTGGCAATCCCTCCATTAGGTTGCCGCATAATCTTCTTGCCACTCCTGAATAAAGGTTTCACAGGGGGTTGGTACCCAAGAACTGGTTGCCACCCTTGCTTTTCAAATTCGGCTCGTAGTCTTCTCTCCTTGAGCGGATGGATTCGCGTTTCCTGCGCGCACAAGATATTGTATTGGTCGCGTTCCGGGAATGGAGCACAAAAGGAAACCATTGAATGAAAATTGCTACTACAAGAAGTGACGTTGATCGAAGAGATATCAAACACAAACTCTTGGGGACCTTGGCCAGGGTAGCCCAAGCAGGGGATAAAGAAAATCCAAAGGTAGTTTTGGGAGGCAAACCACCCGTGACTGCAATTCTTCCTGACGTTTGCAAATTGAAAACTTGAATTATAGCGGAGCTTCGCATTGTTGGACTTCGGCTCGGAAACAACTTGTCTGCAGCCATTTCCAAATCCAAGTGTCAAAAAACAATGATTTGAAGCCAGAAGCTCCGCACTCGGCACTGTAACGTTTGCATGCAAGAGCTGTCTCTGCTCAGGTTCTGAGTGAAACAAGGTAAGACCTCCCGGGGGTCTAGGCAATGTGTCGACAGGTTGGCTACCGTGAAGAGAGACACATGTCGAATTATGAATTAGAAACAAAATGAGAGAGGCTTTGACCAACATCTTTGTCATTCGTCTAGATCTACGAGCACGTCTTGTCCTGAGCCTTCTAGGCTTGGAAGAAGACAGATCTGCTAAGGTTGCACATGTTTTAGCGCAAAGGCCCACATGAAACCACTGAGAGAAAAAACAGCAAACAAGCAAAACAAACCACACAAAAGCAACACAAACTCTGAGACAACCAAGGATAACGTAAGGCAAAATGGAACTAAACATCCAAGGAGAAACAGTGCAACTTACATTCCCACTAGCTACGGCTTTGCTTTCTTGGAAGCAGGCGATTTCACTGGCGTGCTCGATGCACTTGATGGCAAGCCTTTCAATGCACCGATTGCCTCCATCAAATCCGAGAACCCCTTGTCCTGCTTCTTTTCGATTGCATGAACAGATGTCTTGAGCTCGTGGTACTCTGATCTCACTACTTGGATGTCTTTTTGAACCCCATCCAGCCGCTGCTCCAGAATTGCCACGCGGCTCGCCATTGACGAACTTGGGGCTGAAGAAGGTGCACTGGTGGAAGGAGTCACCGGAGCACTTGGGATCGTGGAAATTGGACTGCTTGGTGAGGTCTGAATCTTGGTTTTGCCTTTTCCTTTTCCTTTGGCTGGGAAAGATGGGGTGGGGGCAATCACTGACGCATCCTTGATCTGCTTCACTGCCCGCTTCTGCGGCTCCAGCTTCTCGAGTCGAATGATGCCAATGTTGGTCTGAAACTTGAGGCGCATGGGCTCTTTCGCACTGAAGGCAAACACAACGCATAGCTCGCGGAAGTGTAGCTGTTTTGTCGGGACAGCAGCTACGCCGAGACTGGTCAAAGTCTCTGCCACCTCCTGTGCTGATGTCCCTGTTGGAAAACCCGATATTTTCCAGTGATGGATGGCTTTGACCTGAATGTTGTCTGGGGTCCACCTGTCCTGGTCAGGATACCACATTTTCCTGGCATCAGAAATCGTTGCATCTGAGGTTCTGTAGTAAATAGTGCGGCCAGTCTGAAACATCCCGAGAAATCCATCTCGCTGGTGATGAGTTTGGGCAAGATCACCTAAGAGCTCTTTTGTGTCAAGAGGGAGAAGCTCAAGACCAGATTCGGGTGCATCTTCCCAAGCTCTAATAGGTCTCACCTGAATGCTGTGCAATCCACTCCTGGCATAAATTTGGTCTCTCATCTCGGTCGGAATGAGGAGCCGCTTTGCCAGATACCCTTCTCTCTGGAAACTTTTGTATTGAATGGCGGTGTTTTCACACCGGGCTGTCTGGAGAATTTGTTTGATGTAGTTGTCAAATTTGGCTACATCAGAGAATGTCTCCCAATCTCTTGGGACAGCCTGGCTTTGCCGGATCTCCACAAAGACGCCCATCCTGTTGATCTGCGACACCTTTACCGCAACTTCTGGGTCAGAGATTGTCACCCAGTCTGTTGGGTCATCTGAACAGTTCACCAACGTCAAGGCTCTTGGAGTGTCTTGTTTCAAGACTGGGTCATGGACTGACAGGCTGGCTTCAATGATGCGATCTTCTTCAAACTTGTGCTTGAGCAATCTCTCTTTCACAAAGCCTTTGGTGACAAACACGAACATTGCACTAGAACGGAAGCACCGGTATTCTAAAAGGGTCGTTTGAGTGACAAAACAAAGGCCCTGAGCTCCACTATTGATCTGATCACTTGGGACATGCGAGACGTCAGAGGCTGACCAAAGACCCGGCCAACAAAGCTCGTCCAGGTCTGCCAGGGAAAGTCCATCACTGTGGGCATTGGTCTCCCAAGGGGCACGTCTTGAACTAGTGCCTCTTTCGACCCAAGGGCCCGCCATTGCACAAGGAAAGCCGCTGCACCGATGGGTCCCCAGGAGGTGGGACACTAGAGAATGGAACACAGGGGGTGAACAAGAACACATCAAATCGCCAAAACCACCACTATCACCACATGCGGCAGGAGGTGAAAGGGCTCCCCCGGAAGCAACAAGTCCCAAACAAAATAAAAATCCAACAATCCATGGGGCAACTTGGTTGAGGCCCATCCCTCGTAAAAGCTCCCACGTCGTTAACGTGCGCCCCATCTCCTGGGTGGCCCGGGGGCCTCGCACCGGATTTGATCCGGCACAGCTAAAACAGTATATATATATATATATGCAACAATATGTATATATATATATATACAACAATATATATATATATATTTACAAATATATATATACAACAATATATATATATACAACAATATATATATACAACAATATATATATATACAACAATATCTATATATATGTATCCAACAATGTATATATATATATGTATAACATATATATATACATATGTATATATATAATTTATAACCTATACATATAACAATATATATATATACATGTATATAACAATGTATATATATATACATACATGTAACAATATATATATATAACAATATTGTATGTGAATTTTGGTTTTATTGTTCTTTTAGTCTCTCCGCTGTGATATGCACCGGGTGTCCTGCAACAGAACAATATATATAAGTATTTTATTTCATACATACATAACACTATATATATATATATGACAATATATATATAACAACATACATATAACAATATATAGATAACAATATATATATACAACATATATATATATATATAACTGCAAAGAGACATATATATATATGTAAAAAATGTATATATGTAGATGACACTGTTTTTAAATATTGTTATACATATATAACACTATATATATAACAGTATATGACAGTATATGTATAGAAGAATACAGATATTTAAAAATAATACATATATATATTAATATATATATAACACTATATATATAACAATATATGTATAACAATGAATATATATACATAGATAACAATATATATGTATAACAATATATATATAACAATTATATATATACCAATTATTATATATATAACAACATATATATATAGCAATATATATATATATATATTACAATATTATAACAATATATATATATATTAATATATATATTGTTATATATATAAAACAATATATATATAGCAATATATATATATAACAATATAAATATATAACAATATATATAACAATATATATATATATAACAATATATATATAACAATATATTTACATATATAACAATATATATATAACAATATATATATAACAATATATATATATATAGCAATATATATATATAACAATATATATGTATATAGCAATATATATATATAGAGCCCTATATATATATGTATATATATAACAATATTTATTTATATCAATATAACCATATAGATATATAACAATATGTATATATATATGTATATAACAATATATATATATATAACAATGTATATATATATAAGAAAATAAATATATCAATATATTTAGATATACGCATAACAACACGTATCATATATATATATGTTACAACATTTACATACATATATATATATTGTATATACATGATCCATGAAAATAAGCCTATGATTCATGAACATGGTATATGATTCAATGAGAACCATTAAAATGGTATGTCCAATATTTTTTAGACATTCATCATTCTGTTTGAACAGGTTTGTCCAATAATGCGGGATAGCCCATTACAACCAAAGGAGAGCAAAATATGCAAAATCAGAACACTGTGGTAGTTTGTGGGGTTTCCCCTAAACAGTGATCTGGCAGCGTGATGCGTTGCGGAAACACCTTTGATCAAACTACAGGACCCTTCATGCCACTCTGCTGGTGAGTTCGGGGATCCAATGTTTTAAGCTTTGGATGGCGTGATGACTTCTGCTTTGCAAGTGGCTTACATTTTCATGTTCATCCGGGAGGAGCTGAGTAGGAGTACAAATTTGAGGAAAACCAACATCATCAAAAATTGGCAATTGCTAATGGGAAACGCAATCGCATTAGGGTCCGCCATTGTGGGAAGCCTTCAAGGTTTTTTGTTGAAATTCTAAAATTAGTAGAATCTTCTGGCCCAGCTCGCAGGAAGCTTGGTTGTGACTACATGTTCACCCTCCTCCAGACGGGATTCATGTTTTCTCCCCATTACCGAATGGACGTTCTAAGGGGGGCCTGTACATCTGCTGCCTTGGGCTTTGGGGCTTCATTGAGATCTTAAACATACAGACAACCCCAACCACTTGTGCCAAAGTTGCTGATTTGCCTCTGTTTTGTTGGGACGCCTTCTGTTTATGTGTGAATCTCTACGATTGCCACGGAAGATGATGTTCGAAGTCTTAGCTTCTCGATGTCCGATGTAAGGTTCATGTGCGATCCATATGGCTACCTCAATGCAGCGGAACGCCTGGAACCTGGAAACTGGATGGTGTCAAGTCCATGGTTCAAAAAGTATCTACATTTAATGGATTGGTTTAAGGGAAAATTTGCAGGAAAGCCCCATATTTAGTGGGAAAATCTATGGTTTCCGGTTAAGATTTTCCCAACAAAACCAATCTATTGAATTCCATTGATACATGTGTCCTTGGTAATCCAGCAGCTGGAGCTTTCTGAATTTTCGGGGGATTCCCTGGTTTCACCGTTGGTTTCACCGATGGGGACGAGGTCAGAACATCTCCCAAGAGATGGCCAAGTTCGAGGGCCCAGCTGATCAGCTCAAGTGCCAGTTGATGGCCTCCGGTAATCCATAGGCCATGATAATATTCCCATGATTTTCATATATCCCCATATACACCCCAATAAACATCAATATGGAATTATATCCATGTCCATTATATCCATTGATTCAATGTATTTTACAGTAACCCCAATATTCCATATGGCTATGAATCAATACCTATTAATACCATTTTTAGGGGGATGAACATCCATTTACCAGCTATTTATATATACATACATATATATATATACATATTCTGGGTAAATTTGATCACGACCTCACTGTTCTCCCTCACTGGAAATCATAGTTAGATTGCGGGAAATCATCCCCAAATGGCCGAACAATTCAGGTTAGTGAATTATTATAATTTACCAAGATAATATTCCCACTATTTTCATATGGCTATGAATCAATACCTATTAATACCATTTTTAATGGGATGAACATCCATTTACCAGCTATTTTGATGTGAACTACAGGGGTACGAGGTTTTGACACACTGCCATGAATATCCCCATGAATATCCCCATGAATATTCTCATCAATCACAAATCCAACATGGCAATTGAACATTTGCTGAACAAAATGTAGGTTTTAATGAATTTTACTGGGACATTCAACTAAACAAATGGTGGATTTTCCAGCAATTGATTACCAGAGGGTAGGCATACCTTGAGATTAACTTGGATCCACGCGGATACAGATATTTCATGATATTTCATGATATTTCCATTTTGGCTATGTTTTTCCTGTTCTGTTGGAGATTCCTCTCATGATAGCATTCATCTCACTACCAACAGGCTTTTTGGTCAAGAAAAGCGTGTCAACCACCTTTGGATGTCAAGGGTTATGAGCCCAAGACACGCCTGTTGAAGCCATGGACAGGGCTAGATCGGTTCCAACAAGGGGTTCATAGCTGGTGGGTGCAATCCTTTTTACTCTGACCGGCTGAAAACTGAATGCGCTTTAGAAGCAGCTAGGCCCTTGGACCTTTCTATGGGCTATGAGGAGGAAGTCACCTTAGAAGGTTAGTAGATCAGTCGTTGTCACATGCTGAGCCAACAAGGACAAGCTGGAAAAGACATCGGGTGTGGCTTCTTCTCCATGGTCTACTGTTGGAGGTGGTGATTCAAGTGATGTTTCTCTTCCACATGGACGTCATGGTAGGCATGGTAGTCGAACACCCCGAGCACGTGTTAGAGAAGTAGCGGCTAGTCCTGAGCGAAAGGAATCAAAGACTGATGGTTTGAGGTACACCCCAAACGGGACAAAGGTGCCAGATGGTCCTCCGCCCGTGACGCAAGAGGAACAACCTACCACCGGTGCCACCTTTCCAGGAGGTGTTGCCAACGAATGGGGGCCTGAGCAATCTAGTTTTGTCAGTGGAATCTTGGAGATCTATGATACATGTGACTCAACGCCCAGGATGAAGAATGGAGATGTAGCCTGGAAACCTATGGAGGAGAAAGACGGTCCTCTTACTGCAAGTGAGGCGAAACAGATGTGGCTGGAACGTGAAGTTCGGTCACTCAAAGTAGCTCTGGATAGAGTAGCTGTTCCTCAAGTCTTGCAACAGTCTGGATACTGGAATACTTGTTTTGACTATGGGGATTTATTCAAACCCAGCGGTCCGGGTGTCCCTGGGCATCGTCATACGAATCCACGTGACAATCGGGCACTGTGCATGGTGGATGTGGCGCAGTTGACCTTCATGATCGGGCTTTGTGTGGTGGATGTGGCGCAGCCGACCTTCAAGATCGGGCATTGCTTGGTGGAAGTGACCTTCAAGATCGGGCCTCAGCGCTTCCGTATGAACTTCGAGGCGGTGCCCAGGCTTCGCAGTTGCATGGAGAACACCAAGCGCAAGATCGGGCTTGTTCTGAGCATGGGCTTCATCGTGACCACGGTCGGGCTTTCTCTGAGCATGGGCTTCATCGTGATCACGGTCGGGCTTTCGTTGAGCGTGGACTTCCTTGTGGACAAGCTCGGGCTCCACTTGAGCACGGAGAATATCCTGGACAAGCTCGGGCTCTGTTTGAGCAGGTCGGGCCTTTGCAGAATGGCTGTGCGATTGCCTGGCAGGCTTCAGTCCAGCCATTCGCAACTCACTCCACTGCGGAGAGCGAGCTTTTTGGCTACTGCGACTCTCTGAAAGCAGGAAGATCCGCAGAGGCCATGCTGGCTATATGATGGGCGTCCCGAGCGGAAGCAGTGCCATCGAGTGTGTCCTTTATGGGGACAACGTGGCGGCGATTGGTCTGGCTCATGGGACAAGCAGCTCATCATGGAGAACCCGCCATCTGAAAATCTGAGCCGCCTATCTCAGAGAGGCTTTGGAAGGGCGTGCTCCTGGGGGCCTATATAAGGCGCCTTCTACATCTTCGAGTTGTTGAATTGGTGGCAGATGTGCTCACCAAACCACTTTCTGGCCAGGCCGTCGAGACTTTATTGGCGGACCTTGGAATGCGGCGTGACAGAAATGAAGCTGAGCGCCATGATGATGGACCTCCGAATGCTGCCATTGCAGCGATGATGACTGGGAGCTTGTTGCTTTCCGGTATGGATGCGAGACTGGAGACGACGCCGAATCAATGGCCATTTGGGCCTGTGGAACTGTGCTGATGGTCTTTGGGGCAGTCTATGTTGGGCAGCTGCCTATGAAGTCAATGATGTGCTGCTTAAGAAGATTGCGTGGGCCTCCGCAAAGCTTTGAGGAGGATAATCGTCAACGTCTTGGCGGTGGGAGACGAAGCTCAGTTCGAATCAAGCGTGGGAAGGGCTCATCTTCTTCCAATCCGAGCTCTACCTCTCTGAGTATTAAGATACGACCGGGCACTGGCATTCAGCACCGAGACGAAAATTCCCCGGAAGCGTCATCACGTGGCAGCTCTGAGCGAGTGCCTTTTCTGCTGAGGGTGATGCGTTTGCTGCTGTGCTGCCCAGAACATCTTCTACAGCGTCGGGCTCTGCAGGCGCTGCTGTGCTGCCCAGAACATCGTCTACGACATCGGGCTCTGCAAGCGCTGCTGTATTATTTTGTTGTACATCTATGCCAACCTGGCAACGCTAAATGCGAAGGGTTGAGACACAGGCTTGGTGGTCCATACCAACGGTATGGAGAAGTGAATGAAGGCAGGTTGCGAAACAACACTGCAAAGTTAGGAATCCCGAAAAGAAAAGGAAATGCCAAAGTAGCACATTGAGAAGATATCAGCCTGCATTGGCAGCAAGTCCGCTGTTCATCAAGTGCATGGGCAATGAAAATGCCAAGAGTGTTTGCTGCAATAGCACACAGCACGCTCCCATCGAACTCAATAGCAGCACTGAATCAGCAACGCGGTTGCCGTCCCCACCACGAGTTGGGTATGTCAAATTTAGCTTCGAGAGATCCTCTGGTCATCAAACCTGGGACACTCTGCAAAGAAATGGCGTGCACTGGCCTGGGGTGACTGGCACCACTTGCAAGAAGTGCGAACATCCATCTGATCGGATCCAGGACGGTAGAAACGTTGAGTAGGCGTCCAGACCACTCCCGATCTCCATATTGTAAGGATCTTTTGATCTTCTGAGGACAAGCTTTTCCTGAACTTAATCCACGCAGTTTGCGAATAAATTTCGCGATCGACTTCACCAATCCCTTCGGCATCAAAACGAGAAGTTTTAACCGCGTTGAGCACTATGCGACGTGCCCTAGAACGAAGAAAGTGGCGGACCCTGGCGTCCTCTTTTTCATGCATTGCGGTGATTTGCGTAGCAACAGAAAAATCGCCTGTGCAAGCGCTGCTGGAGTGAGTGAGGCATTTAAGTCTTCCAAAGGGGAGCTTGATCTATCCAATCCATGGAGCAAATTTCAGCATGACCACGCTGGCAAAGGTCTGTCAAAGCAGACCTTATCAAAGATGTACAAATACCAAAAAAAGAAGAATAGGTGAGTAGATCTATATGGCCTTGGGCCACCGCGAAGCCGATTGGCCTTTTGTTCCTTTTTTCAAAGAAGTTTTGCAGACTTGAAATTTGGGAAGTCATGCAGACTTGAAGCATGGCGTTCCCTTGATAGCATGGCAACTGAGGCCCAGCTCGGGGGAGTCTGCTGGAGATTCCTCTCATGATAGCATTCATCTCACTACCAATAGGCATTTTGGTCAAGAAAAGCGTGTCAACCGCCTTTGGATGTCAAACCTGTAATTGCTTCCCTTCCCGGATGATCTACACATCACATGAATGACCCTGGATCCCAAGACTCTATTGATGCAGGGGATTTCTCCGCAGCTTTCTTATACTATCATGCGATGTCTGAATTTTTCACGGTCCCCATTGGTTATAATCCCGTGCTTGTACCCCATCGCATGTTTGTATGTATGTACGTATGTATATATAAATATAAATAAAATACACATATATATAATATACATACGTTCATACACATACATATATGCAATATGTACAGAGTGTATAGATGCATGTGCATATAGGCATACATCCATGGTAAATAGACACGCATACACACTTATATATACATATATAAAGTATATATACATATATAAAGTATATATACATATATAAAGTATATATATATACACACCATATATATATACATACATACACTATATATATACACTATATATATATATACACTGTATATAAATATATATTTGTATATATATATATATTTATTTGTATATACAGTATAATTTATATATATAGTATATATATAGTATATATATAGTATATATATAGTATATATATAGTATATATATAGTATATATATATAGTATATATATAGTATATATATAGAATATATATATAGTATATATATATATATACATACCACACAGATAGACAGATGCCCAGATGATTGCTGATGACAGGCTGAGATCGCAGCACCTGGTGGTTTGTGAGGATTTGGTGGTAGAACCAGTGGCTGACTCAACCGCGGACCCTTTGTTAATTTGAGGGTTTTATGTGGGTTGAGGGTTGGAAAATCCCAAGTTTGGCAATGTTGGCAGTGTGAATTTACCCTCTGGTAAACTAACAAAAAACTATTGAAAATGGCCATAGAAATAGTGGATTTACCCAGTAAAAATGGTGATTTTCCATAGCTATGTTAGTTTACCAGAGGGTAGTTCATTTAATTTTTCGAATAATTACATTTTATTGCGATGCGACTTGAATCAGAGCAGGATTATTTGGATGACTTTTTGGCTGAGGATTTTTTTCAGAGCCATTTAGGGGTCCTTGGGTTTTTGTTCATCGGCTCCTCGAGCCTGGCCCATTCCAAAATTATCGTCGATCATGCAGGCTGTCAGTCAACATTTAATATGAGTCCTGAATCATGTTTTCAATAAGAAATAAAACAAAACATGCATATCAGTATAAATATGATTCAATATGAATTCTGAAGAAACTGTGTTCACTAGGAAAACCCCAGATTGCCCATTTTCACTGGCATTCCCCCAGCTTTACTTGGAGCAATTGCTCAATACTGTACATCCCCCAGAATGGGAGTTGAACATTGGGTCCCAGATGTTTTTTCTATTTTTTTTTTACATCCTAGTCTTAGTATTTCATGTTCAATTCTGCTGTTGGATATGTGACATGTCCGTATCTTGGGCTACATACAAATCACCTCAAACCACTAGTTCATCATTGCATCGCCTATTTTTGCATCGCTCCGACCTGAGTTATACGCTATTCCAGTTCCTGAAAGATATTCCAGTTGGGTATTCGTCGAAATTGTTCCCCCCTCCATTTTGAGCTGGTTTGCTACTAGGATTCCCCAAAAATCTGCGCCACTCCAAGATCAATCAGCGACACCTGGCTCCGTTCTACGTGGGCGTGGCCATTGCCGAGGCCGAGGTGCAGCAACCGGATGATGGGTCGATGGGTGATGCGAGAGTCTGGCGTGTCGCCGTGTCGCCTTAGGTTCGGACAATAATTTTTATTAGGACACGTTAAGCATAGATCGTTCTATAATGTTCTATAGTTTGTCGCCTCAGGTTCTTATAGATAGTTTTATCGTTTGATAACGTTTGATAGGAAAGTTCTTGGAAGATCATGTGATGTCAAGATCAACCTGAAGCTGTTGGCCAAGACAATTTGGAAGCTGCTGCAAAAAACCGATATGCTTCAAGAAGGTAGACATGAAAGCCAGTGCACGATGAGACGCCCGCAGATAAGCAACTGGCCACTTCAGACACAGAACGTTTTGAAATTGAATATGTTTTCCCTTCGTATGTGGCTGTTGATCATCCCCCTCATACACCCTGCTGTTCACACCAAAACATATGGTAAATGCCCGATTCACATTTGGGAAGTGCCAGAGGTTTTGACCCATCCTCATATCCATCCATTATCCCGATATCTGTGATGTCTGTTGGTTAAATCATAATTTTTAATGACACTAATCCCCAAGTTCATAGTCTTTACCCTCTGGTAAACTAACATAGCTATGGAAAATCACCATTTTTCATGGGAAAATCCACTATTTCTATGGCCATTTTCAATAGCTAACTGTTAGTTTACCAGAGGGTAGTCAACTTCCGCTTCTTGATGGTACAGTACACATCCGAATCCACTGGTTGATCATCATTTTCCCCATTCCAGTGCCATTTCTGTTGGGGGCATACTCCGTTTTTACAACCAAACCATGGAAATTTGGAAATATGGGTATGGGTCAATACCTATTAATACCATTTTTAGGGGGATGAACATCCATTTACCAGCTATTTTGATGTGAACTACAGGGGTACAAGGTTTTGACACACTGCCATATATCATGATATATCATAGGTCTTCCTACATCCCCATGATATCCCCATGATATTTCTTATGGCTGGCTTGATATCAAATCCCCAAACCTTGGTGCTACCTTCGATCTCCAGAAGACCGAAGAGATGCCATCCTCATCGGTGAAGCAGTACGGTCATTTGATTATGTCCTTGCCCCGGCTGGGCGAAAGATGGGCGAAAAGGTGCTGGGATCTTTTCCACATCATTTATATTGGGTCTGTCGGTATGTCATCATTTTCACATTATATATCATTATATTGGTATGTCATTTTTTAGCATACTTTTTCATGTGGAAAATGATGACATAGCAATATCAAACAGGGTTTTGTTTGGGCCAAATGGCACCCAGTTTTGGAGGCTTCACCCCTGTTGGACAAAGGTCAGGGCTTGGTCAGAAACTGGACATCAAAAAGCAACGATGGTATAGTGATGCTGGGTGACCTTCCAAATATAATCAAATATCTATACTATACATATATATATATATAGATATAGATATAGATATTATATACATGTATATATATACACTGTATATAGATATATATACTGTATATAGATATTATATACATGTATATATATATATATACACACTGTATATAGATATTATATACTGTATATAGATATTATATACATGTATATATATATATATTGTATACTGTATATAGATATTATATACTGTATATAGATATTATAATATACATGTATATATATATTATATACTGTATATAGATATTATATACATGTATATATATATATATATATTGTATACTGTATATAGATATTATATACTCTATATAGATATTATATACTGTATATAGATATTATATACTCTATATAGATATTATATACTGTATATAGATATTATATACTGTATATAGATATTATATACTCTATATAGATATTATGTACTGTATATAGATATTATATACTCTATATAGATATTATATACGGTAACGGTATATAGATATTATATACTGTATATAGATATTATATATGTATATATACATATTCGGATTACAATAGGATACAATAGGTATAATTTTTTCGCGTAATGATGAGAGATCCTACGATCCGACCAGCAACAAAGAAATCTTGCGGGCCGATACGTACAGTCGACTGGACGGACACTGCCAAGTTTTTTTTGGAGATGGTTCAAGACCTATTAAGACATATATATATATATGTATATATACTAATTGGGGAGATGAACAATTATAAATCCCAGCAATCCCAGCTAGTTTGGTCAATGTACCAGGTTTTTGACCCATACCCTGGCTCCACCTTGATCGAATCCTGCTGCTGATCCCTCTGTATCGATTCGATGATCCACCAGAATCTGAAGCGAAACTTTCCGAATTTGTACAATATATATACATATATATATATATATGAGCAACCGTAAAAACCCCGGCAATACTAAATATGTATTCGACGGACATTGGCTTATGGAAATTGATGGAAATTGTTAAAAACACGAGGTAAGCGATGGGACCTTCCCAAATTAGCGATAACCCTTTTCAAGGTTATTTCATCATATTTCTCTAATATCCACATTAGCGATACCCACATATCACATATTATTCATAGTTCATCACATATATATATATATAAACGCAGCAGTTTCCTGCAAGCGATGCCCCCCAAGTTTACCATATATCATTATTGTACAAACGTGTGGTAAGCGATGGGACCTTCCCAAATTTGTGGATGTCCTTTCCGTGAACCTAGGGTTTTCACAATTGCTCATATATATATACGTATATGTATATATATATGTATAAATATTGTTCTTCAAGATCAAGACTTCAGATATGTTTGAATAGATATCTTCGATATGCTTCAGCTAAGTTTGTTCACCATCCCGCAATGAGCTCAGCCACCAATTTCATGGCTGGGCTCAGCCACCAAGTTCCCCGGAGCTTCAAAGGTCTGAGTGGAATCTGAACTCCTTCTTTGGGAACAACCCCAGCAGCGTCACACGTTGCCCGGAAAGCCCAGAGTGGCGGCCAAGTGACGCGGTGGGAAACTGAATTAAAAACCAGCAACCATCAAGGCTCCATAAGTCCATGGTTCAGTCAGTTCGTGCAGGTCCCAACAAGGCGTTGCTGTTGGTGCTGCCAAAGAATGGACAGGCCTAAGGGGAAAGCCTTCCGGTCACCTGCAGCTTGAGGATGGAACTTCATAAATTTCAGGTGGCAATAGGGTTAGTTCGTCCCTTGCAACTGGGATACACTATATACATATAGAATATACATTGGGACTCAAGTAACGAACCATCTGAGGCTAAATTAATGAATCATTCCAAGCCATGATTGACATGGCAAGGCTAAGCATAGTTGATGGATTTCCTGCAGTGATAACTCCTTTTTGTAATTTGAGTCATTAGTCCGGCTTGATATCTTGTGTACATGCAACATGTATATGTAATTATATGTATATATAAGTACATGTATGTATAATATATATATATATGTAATATATATATATATATATATATTTGATATATATCACCTGCGTATCCTCAATCTTTACAAGCGCCAATCATTTGGGACACAGATCTTTTTGGACTTCCATGCGATGCCAAGGTCACCATCACTTTGAAACCCATCCAACTTCTTTTTTTGGGTGTGTAAGATAAGACAACCAATCAACCACTTGATTTGCGGCCCAAACAGATAGAGAAGTATACTGTACCATGATTTGGTGGGATTTTACCTTTCCTTCGTTTTGCAGGTGGCTAGAATCATCAAGAATCCATGATTTTTTGTGTTCCTGGCCAGGCCGTTCTGGTCACAGATGGCTGCCGCTATCTGTGTGAGGAGAGGCAACATGAACAGATTCAGGGATCTCATCAACTGAGGGATTTGATCATCAAATAGTCACCAACTTCCAGTCACTGCCAGTCACTGGTTGGATTCGCTTGGAGTCTGGCGGGCATATCACCTTCCATGGCCTTCAACTTTTGAAGACAACTGCCACACTTTTCAGACACATCCGTTTCAGTCCTGGTCCTTGGTCAGGGAAGCGCTAGTTGGATGTCCATCCTAGTTTCCTAGTTAGTGCTGGATAATGACATGCATATGTTATATATATACATATGTGTATGTTTATATTAAAATGATATATTATGCATGTATACATGTATAATGTAGTATATGCATGTAATGTAATGTAATGTACTGCAATGTGATGTGATGTGATGTAATGTAATGTGTATATATATATAATAATTACATATATATGTATATAATATACACATGTAGAACCATACTTCCATATTTACACATGTGTACAATGGGGTATATTCCATACATATATATATATTATAGATGGGTAACAACTTCCTTATCAGTGGGTAGGCCCCATTTCATTGGGTAGATCCCATATAAACGACATCCCTGGAACGTCCAGGACACTGCAAGGACCGGGTACTTGGTTGAAACGCAGCTGCGTGGGAAGAGCGTGGCCCAAGCCGTTGGGAAGACCCAGACCCAGGCCTTTCGGATCCGAAAAGGCACCTTTTTGGGCCATTGAACCAGAGAGTTGGATCCTATAGAAACCCCCAAAAAGAAAGAAAAGTAAAACCCTACTTCAACAGTACATATCTATAATGTATGTAGTAATATTACCCATATAGTACCCATATATTAGCCATACAAAAGTAAATGCCTGTTCTATCTCTTTTGGGCACAACTGCTTCCGGATAACAACAGGTTTGAAAGATGAATTTGGTTGACATGGCTTGGGGGCACCAAGCCGGAAGTTTCAAAGACCACTCTGAAGAGTGGCACAGTAGCACACTATTCAAACCATATCAGACCATGGAATCACCATGCAAAAAACCTATATAAAACATGATAAACATTGATAAACAAACCATATTATGACATTGATATCTCATCGAACCAATGAATCATTGAATCTCTAAGGTCCTACTCGGACTCCGAGATGCCTACAGCACCCTGCCGCTCTCGGTGGTTCAGGGTGAGGACGGCCGGTCATAGAAATTGTTCATGTGGATATCACTGTATTCCATATTGATTACTACATTGTTATTACTATTACTATGCCTATGCCATCATCATCATCATCATCATCATCATCATCATCATCACTATTATTATTGCCATATGGTACTATATTTATATATACTACATATATATATATATACTGTATACAAATGTCCCCATGATTATTACACAATGGCATGAGTGTAGCTTGAAAGAAAACTTGCGCCTCCCTACTTGTGGACTTCCAGGATATGCCATCATCAGGCGCCCCGGCGCAGGACCAGGCGCAGGACCAGGCGCCTGGAAAAATGAAGTAATGACAATGACCATCCCGGAAACAGAATGGGGATTGTCATTACTATAGTCCATCTTTTTTGTCATAAAGAAAATTGTCATTAATAATGGTCATTACATGGTATTAACCATCATGAAAATACACAACTTTCCATCTTTTTCGGGGATTGCTATAGCTGGTTTAATGGGGATGAAAAAACAACCCATTAATAGAGATATCAACTAACCAAGCAGTACAATGGGATGGGATATATAATTTTTTAATCGGCTCAGATGATCCTGAAGTGCTGGAAATGCTGGGAATGGATGACATGAATTATTGTGCTGAAACATATTTCTGTATCAACATGATCATGAGACTAAAGAGAGTGGATTCTGATGGAGTACCCTCTGGTAATTTAACATAGCTATTGAAAATGACCATTTATAGTGGATTTTCCCATTGAAAATGGTGATTTTCCATAGTTATGTTAGTTTACCAGAGGGTAGATTCGATTTCAATGCATTCAAACTGAAATAATGATAACAATAATAAGAATCTAATAATAACAATAATAAGTCATCATCACTATTTTCACGGGTTTTCAGCACCCAAATCCTACAAATACGCTTCTCAATGATCATTCTATATTGATTTCCCAATTTTTAAGGCCCCAAATCCTATAACTCCTGGGATCACTGGTTCCAGTATCTTTCAACACGCTAAAACACCAGGCAGTGCAGCCCCTGCAGCCGGAGAGTTGGGTCCTCTTTGTTCAACGTGCCCGGAGCCGAGTTGAGCCAAAATTGTGGTGAACATGAGTAGATGAGTCATGAACAAGAGTAGCTGTGGTAGATGATTCTTGCTCCACCATTTTGTTGGGGATATCGAAGATTGCAATTCATCATTTGTGGATGATTTTCCTGTTGCACATCTGATTCTTTCACCGCCAAAGTCTGGGCAAATTGCCCCAAAAGTGACCCATTTCAGATTTGTGACATACTGTATGCATATATATATATATATTATACAGACACATGAAATATACACACCGATCTCCAAACCAAACTATTTAGCATCTCTCCTGCTTTGTCTATTTGTAATACGTAGCCTTTCCCTCTCTCAATCTCTCTTAGCCTCGATTTGTAACTAGAAAATATCTCCCTTGGTTTGTGAATTCACATCAAGATCATACCTAGACATATACATCTTATTATATCTTTATGAATACACAGATCATATCCATACAATGTGAGGCCCCCCAGTTATAAGTTGGTTTATAAACCCCAGTAACTATAGTTATAAGTACCATAAACCATAGTTATTGGATTTATAAACCAACTTAGATATCTTGGGGGCCTCATATCCATAGCGACTTGTGACTTGTGACATTCCAATTCTCCACTGCAACGCCTGAAAGGCCGTCTTTGCCTTTGCTGTGATGGCCCTGGGCCTGAGCCTCGCTGTTGGCTTCTTGGTGACTTGGTTGTGGATGGGAAAGTCACGGGGGGATCCCAAGGTCATCATGGTTGTTTCAATACATCATGGTATCTCATGGTCATGATTGTTTGGTAGAAATCCAACCAAAGAAATGTGGTGCTGAACTGGGGATGACTGAAAACCATTGAAAACCTATGAAACTTGGGGTCGTGAACATCCATCAGTCCCACCTAGTTGGGAGTGAAAACCAGAGCATTCCTTGGGGGTGCCACAGCATGCCATCAACATCAAACGAACAAAGGGATATCTTAAGAGATGCTTCAACAAACTTGGACACATGGAGTCACATGGAGGTTTCCAATCCATGGAAATACCCCAATTCATCCAGTTGTCATATCAATGGCATTGAACAACACTTGCCACCGGTTGGGCTGTAAAAGAAGCCTCAGTTTCGACACCTCAGTTTCCCGTCATTTTGCAGGCATTTTCTGATCAGCCACTCAGGGATTCGAAGATTTCCCACCAGAAAAAAAAAAAACGTGGCAGGATTTTGAGAACATGCCGCTATCGCCGTCCATGATGCCGCAATCGCCGTCCTTGATGCCGCAATCGCCGTCCTTGATTCCGCAATCGCCGTCCTTGATTCCGCAATCGCCGTCCTTGCAGGGCCCGGTGCGCTCCTTCCAGGTGAAGAACACCTTCATTGATGTGGAGGATTCTCCGAAAGAGGGCACTTGGGGTCCGGAAACCTCAAGGCGTTGCAGATCAATGCCTCCGCCACCGATGTTGGACACTCCCAGTGAGGATGATGATACCAACACCACCCCTGCGGATGACGAAGTGTCATCCCCACTCTCTGTGGGAAAAACTCACTATTCGGCAGCTCGGATGCGTTTCACAGATGTAGTGACAATACAGAAATGCTTTGATATAGATACATTCGACTACTGCAACTAGTTCATGTTTTTCAAGATTTTCCTATTTCATCCCGAGATGATAAATCCATATAAATCATTGATTCGCCCATATTTTTCAATTTGAAATCACCCAGATCCTCCACCAAGGAGTCACCGCGCCCCACCCAAGATCGGCACATGTTTCCCTCACGCTTAGCATCCTGGCCCTTTATCCCGGACACCATGATGGTCGTCCTGCCCTGTCCACCCACACCTTCTTCCGAAGCGCAAAAAGATGTGGAGAAAGTGAGCCACTTGTTGCGGCATTGATTTATTTTATCATTTATTTTATCGCCAACAGAAAAATCCAAGAATTGCTAGGGAACTTTGATGAACTTTGGTCGTTTTGTTTTCCCTGAAAAATCCCTTGGATTTTTCGAGAGGCTTGGCCAAGATCGTTCGCACCAGGCGAGTCCTCAGAGTTCGAGAAGAAGAAGAAGTTGACCTGCGATTTTGATGCCCAGAGCGGTTCCTACCGCGTCACCTGGTACGTGGATGCCCGAAAGCTTGATACCTGGAGAAGCAAAAAGAAGTCGAGGATTTTCAAAAACATTGCCCCATTACTTCATCCATGAGCAGTGGGGGAATCTACTTGGAGGATAGGATTGTGTGTATATACCTATATATATATAAATATTTAATTATATATATATATTTATATCTATATATATGTTTATATATATATATGATAACATACAACTACATACAGTAATTAGAAATCTATGGCACTGACAGCGCCCCAAGGATAGCAATGACAAGCAAGCCGTGTCTCCGGCATTCGAGTTGGCTTGGAAGGGCGAAGAAGCGAAGACCTTCAAGGTGCACCGCATATCTTGGCATGGCCCCAGAGACCATATGGTTTACGGATGGGATGAATATGATGAATGGGCTCAAATGATCTTCGTTTTTTTTTACCGAAATTGCTGCTTCAACAACATGTTTGAATATTACCCTCTGGTTATGTCAAAATAGCTATTGAAAATGACCATTTATAGTGGTTTTTCCCATTAAAAATGGTGATTTTCCATAGCTATGTTAAATTACCAGAGGGTATGTTTGATATTTTCGGACCTTTTCCCATGAAGTTTTTCAAGTTTCCCTGAGGTGATGCTCTTCCCGGAGGCGGCGCCAGGGGTACGTGGTGCCTACAATTTCAAGAAGTCGCGAGGTCGAGGATACATCCGTTTGAAATGCGAAGACGAGGTGCGGGGCTTCACACAATCTGGATGGTAGTTGGGTTGGTTCAAGATTCTGGAAGAGTTGGGCTATGATTTACCCTCTGGTAAATTAACATAGACCCTGGCAGATAGGGGTTGGAAGACTAGTTTCCATTAAAAAATTGTCATTTTCAGGGTCTATGTTTATTTACCAGAGGGTATTCAAAGGAAAGAGATGAAAGATGAGAAAAATGATGATCAACCTCTGGATATCTCTGGATGTGTGGGTACTTAGGGTACTTTACTTTTCAAAGGCCAGTGGCCCGCTGGCAGATTCAGATCTGAGGTGGACCAGTCCACCTTGGCCACGGTGAAGCTCAGCATGGGCGAAGAGTCCAGGGGCCCGGTGAAACACGATTTCGCGCATAGTGTGGCTTGGCGATGCTTGGCGTCCCCGGTGCTCCCCCTTAGTAAAGCAAATAAAGCAATAAACAACTCCCATGGTTGAAATCCATTGAAATCCCATAAAAATGCTGATGACTTGTGTTTTTTTTTCCAATTTTTCTCCAGCAATTGGGCCACCCTCAGGTGAGTTGCGGCTTGCAAAAGAGGCAAGCAGTCTGGGATTGCAAGAAACTCTGTGAGGAAGCCCGCGTGATGCTGCTGGTGACGTTCCTGGTTCTGACAAAATGGTGATCGAAGCGAAAAGTAAAGGGGAACTAACAAACTATTATGGGGATACATATATATTATTATTATATTATATATTATATATATATTATATTATATTATATATTATATATATATTATTATATTATGTATATATACATATATATATATATATATTATTATATATATATATTATTATATATATATATTATTATATATATATATTATTATATATATATATTCATGATTATTCATGTATATATAATTTAATGTATTTAGTGGAATATAACCACTATGGGCCAATGGGCTATTCGGTTTTTTTTTGGGTCTGTCTGAAAACGGTGAAACCTCACCGAGGCTTGACATCAAACCATTGGATCCCCGAGAATTGGCGTAGTGCTGTGCTTCTCGGGAGCTGCTGACGGCAGAAACGGACGTTAAACGGAGCGAAGTTTCGCTCGGTTCCTATGGATGGCCGTGGGGGGCTTAAAACACCGGTGCGGATTTTTGGAGACGGAAAATGTCAGGATCTCAAAACCATCACAGTCGTTTCAACCAAACTTGTGTGTTCCTTTTGAAGTCTTTATTGAAAGATTTTCGACCCACGGCCTACAAAATACCGTGACTGACTGAGAAAAGAGTCTCTTCAAGTCAAGGAATCGTTCCAATAGATGGCGGAAGATGCTCAAACATTTGAGCGTAAGTCTTGGGAAGGCATGCATGGATTGGAAGAGGCGTTGTAGAGAAAAATCTGTAGACGAAAAGCTTCAAGTTGCTCTGAAGTGCCCAGCGATCTGCAAGATTTTAACTGAAGATTTGGATATTCACAGGCCCAAACACATACAACTAATGTTGGTAGATGTTGGTAGCAAAAATAACCTACCCCCCAATTCACCATAGGTGGTATAAGTTCAATCAGAATCCATAGTCATAAATCCCTCATGACCACTACTCAGCGTGTTTTGGCTGGCAAGTTGGCCCTTACAGAACACTGAAAGGGGCTCTGAGAGAAAATGACAGCGACAGCCAACCTCGCCTTAGATCGCTAAATGGGGCGATCCAAAAGTAGCTGATTTCAGTAATTCCTTCCCCTCAAATACCACCCCCATATGGGCCCCCAATTCATTAAACAATCCAATGCTAAACCGATGTTTCCAGAGCGGTATTCAATATTATGGGGACATGACAGGCATGATTTTTTTGCAGTGTTTTGAAGAGACCAGATTATTTGGGTCCGAAAATGGGATATAGCACGACATACCCCAATATAGCCATTTTTACAGGGACAATGGGATTGACCATTGGATTATTGGGGTTTTCCCCTAAATTGACAAATTGACAAACCCATTTTGCAAACAGATCTGGGTCAGAGCAAAGTGCAGCTTCTTCCCGCGCTCGTGCCGCGTGCCGAGATGCGAACCTTGGAAAGCGGACAGCTGTACATTGGATGTCAGCACCCGGGGTAAGCGGTAGGATTTTGTAGATACACACTGGTTGGAAGGATACACCCCCAACATTTGGCAACAAAAAAGGGCAGCATTTCTAGAAGAATCTGGAAGATGAGTTTTTTTTGAGGTCTTGAAACCTATAGTTGCTGGCCTGGGAAAGAAGATTGCGACTATTAAGGATTGTTTGGGGTCCTATGTTTAGCTGATCGTTTCTGAGTCATTCCTTGCACAATAAGCGAAGTCACTCGCTTGAATAGGTTCCAGTTCAGACAACTTTCTATGGATGCTCGGTTTTCCAACTTTCTATGGATGCTTGGTTTTCCAACCGATTAAAAGGATGCACATCTTTCCAGAAAACACGGTTCTCCAACTGCTGGGCAGTGTCCTTGCCAACCTGCCAACCAGCTTAGAATCTGGGTCTACAGAGACACAAAGATCAAAAAGCTCGATGTCATCCATCTTTTCAAGTCTCTCAGACCCAGTGGCTTCCCAGAAGGTCTGGGCCCTGTACAGGGGGTGAGGTGCGCGTGACAGTGGATGTCCGCCCCTGATCCGGAACGAGACTTTAAAAAAACGCGGAACTTTCGGGAGATCACTCGTGCGAGGAATTTGAATTCTGAGTTCCGCTGATAAAAATTCTGGGCTGTTTCACAGACCCCAATCCCCTTCAGACTCCAGGGCACAGTTGCTCTTCCTAGGGGCCGTTTTTTAATGTTTTTAGTTTTTTAGATGTTTCAGCACATTTTGGAAGGGGGTTGGAGTAGGTGAGAACCCCAACTGCTGGATATCCCCTGTGGTTGTGACGCCCGTGGTGGTCCCATCCTGAAATGCAGGGAATTCGCATCCATGCTGGTGCTGTACAAATGTGTGACACGTTGACTCAGTGATCCCAGTGATCTGCAGCTTGGCTTTGACCCTTTTTGACCCTTTTTGACCCTTGATCCAGCTTGATCTCATTGATTGGTTGATAGTTGAGACATGTTGAGACACCTTTGCCATGCATGTTCCATCCATCCTTGACATGGGAAGATGATTGATGATCCCCACTGACTTTCGAAAATCAAGCATCAAGCTGCTGTCTGCAGCTCAACTAGAAGCTGTATAAGTAGGTTTCAAGAATCCATATTCGTCCAGAGTCCCAAAGCATCATTCGATGCGCCTGGCAGAGAGGTCAACATACTGGAGGCTCAAACCTGGTATGATTCTGATGCTGATACACCTCCAACTGTTGTTTTTCCAGTCAGTCATGATTATCAGAACCTGTGAGGTCTGATGCTTGATGAGTTTCCTGATCCCAAACAGAAACACTTCTGCTGGATTTCTATTCAGTTTGGTGGTTTCAACTATATCTACCTATATCTCCTTTCCTTACCTATCTGTTTCAAACCAACATCCCCATTGACTCACCCTCAGGAGGTGAAACCACCAACCAGTATGGAAATTTGGCGAAAAACAAACAGACCTCTGTGCGCTTGCGCTACACTAAGATGTGTTTCGTTGGGCAATTATGGTGCACCTGCCACCAAACCAGTTCGCTTAGTAGGCTTATAGGAAAAGGCTGGAAGGGGGCGATCAAGGGGCAAATGACACATCAGCAGGAATTTGTCTCCTTATTCTCCTTATTCGGTCAAGAATGACAAACAAGGAAAAAGTTGGTTGCTGGTTTCATTTTCTGTTCGGATTTCAAGTCCTTCTTGCCATTACATGTCCAATTTGTTGACCCAGACTGCTCCTCAGACCTAAAAAGGCCCATAACCAAAAAGGTGGGCTGTAGCGCATTCACTCATCTGATGTGGGTTGTCATTTTGGGGGGGAAACCACCGTTATATAACGACTATAAATTATACACAACAAAAATACGGAGTTTGTGAAGTAACTCTTCCTCTTTTCAGCCGAGATCTTGGTTTAGAGAACAATCTCCCCTACCGTTTGTACTACCAATGGACCCAAATCCCATGATTTTTCATCATGTTTTATCATTTTTCAATGTTTTACCCATCAGTTTCCCATGGTTTATCATCATTTTCCCCATGACGCGCGTCCGACTGACACTCCGAGGTGATGTGCTTTGCTCCGGGCTTGGCCAAAGGTCACCGTGGCTACCTGTGAAACCACGCCATGGCATCAAAAAGACCAGCGGTCTGTGGCGACGTGTTTACCTTAAGTCTGGTTTTTCTGAGTTCGGGAGTGGGATTCGACTGAATTTCTACCAAATAATTACCCATAGGATCCATGGTGCTGGTATATATGCTAACATTTACCATCAATATACCCCAGTCATGTTAGCATATATACCATTCATACATGGATCCGTCATGGGTTATTGGGGAGAAAACAACTGCGAACACGGGGAATCCCGTTCTTGAGCAGTATTTCATGGAATGACCTTGCGGTTGAACCCTGCTGAGGTGGGTGCTGGTAAACCTCTGTTGATTGATGATTACGATTGATTAAATTGGGTTGTACTATCCAATAATGTGGGTAAAACAAGAATACACTATCCCCCAAGTCACCATAAATTGGTGGTATAAATCAGTCACCATAAATAGAGGTGAACGAGGGTGTATCTCGCAGAAAGAGGTGAAGACACGGTAGAAGCTTGAAGAGAGGGCGTCCGAAAGAGCATTTCATATGCGCGAACGTGCCAGTTTCATCCAATTGTGAGCAATGTGAAATCTTGATAAATCTTGCCTGTCTATCTTTTGATACTGTCCTACCTTGCAACTAGATGGGATGACAGGCAAACTAGATTCATACCGGTCACTCCGGTCAATCAACTTGGCTTCACTAAGTTTTCATTCCAGCAATGAAGACATTTTCTGGTGGTTTCAAACATTTTTCAGCCCTATTTGGGATTCTGGTATCGATATATGTGAAATCATCTAGTGAAGTCCACCCATTTTATTGAGTCATTACGATCATCGTGAATTCATTACCCCCTACAATCAGTACTGTATATATATCCTAGGGGCATCCCTTAATCATCCCTTAATCATCCAAAAAATCCCATGATTTGATTCAAAACCTCCTGTTTTTTAACAGGAAATTGTGATGTGTAAAGATGTGTAAAGCCTCACCACTAAACCACCAGGATTTTGGGTCCCAAGTTGGATTTTCGCAAACGGCTCCAGAGCGTCCCATCACCCGTGAAAAACTGGTCAGCGAATCTCCCGAGCCACGCGACGACGCGACGTGGGGTCTCTTGGGGTGTCGGAGGGAGCTCGGGAGCTCTGGAGACAGATCTTGCCACCGTGTTTCACATATCCGCGGGAAAAGGGGTGGTGTATCAGCCGCAAAAAATGAGAAGATCTCCAATCATCCTGCTTTTTGGTTTGTGTGGTGGTTTCAAGGCCTTTTGTTTTTTTGGTTCTTGTTTTTGGTTGTGCACTTCCGCGTCTCCGCTCCCGCTCCCGCCCGCCGCCTCACACACAACTTGCTCACACACATTGACCACACACAACTTGTCCACACACAACTTACTCACACACACACAACTTGACCACACACATCTTGCATCTTGTCACCACACAACTTGACCACACACAACTTACTCACACACACACAACTTGGCCACACACATCTTGAACACACACATCTTGCATCTTGTCACCACACAACTTGACCACACACAACTTACTCACACACACACAACTTGGCCAGACACATCTTGACCACACACATCTTGCATCTTGTCACCACACAACTTGACCACACACAACTTGTCACCACACAACTTGCTCACACACAACTTGTCCACACACACACACAGGCGTGGCACTTGGCGACATCTGCCTTCACTTTGCATGGCAGGCGTGGCACTTGGCGAAATCGGCCTTCACTTTGCGTGGCAGGTGTGGCACTTCGCGACATCGACCTCCACTTTGCGTGGTAGGCGTCGCACTTATGCCGCTAGGCTGGCTCTGGTGGCGCGCTTGGTTCCCCGTTTGGC